TAATTTTTTTTTTTGTATTTCTATAATGTTTGTATTTCCGTTATCTTATGTGTAAATTCCATCTCCAATTTTATTTTTATACTGTAACCTATATCTCATTTCATATACACTTTTTTTATATTTAACCTTAATAAACCTAAGACTCACATGCTTGGCCCCAAACGTTGGCAAACTTAATAAACAACAGATCCTGACTAATTTTCATCCTTATAATTTTAATAGTCAACCACGTCTTCATCCCTAAATACATCTTTACTAATCAAACCACTTCTCATGTATTTTATGAAGTCAGACTTTTGTTACAGATTAAATGCCTAAAACATTTTTATCTACGAAAATTCTCAGAAATGTTGTGGTTTTCTCAATAGATTAATTCATTTAATGAAGTACTAAAAACCAATTTGCTTTTCACTTGAATTTTAAGATATTTTGATCACAAAATCGATCAAAAAAAAGGTGGCTTACCAAAATATTGGGCCGCTTGGCCTAAATAACCTCATTATTTTGACGTTTTGGGAATGAGAGTCAGTTTTTTTCTCAATTTTGTGATCAAATTATCTTATAATTCAAATTGAAAGTAAATGGTTTTTCATGAGCTTCCTGTACCTAATTAAATAGACGAAGTTAGCCAATATCCATAATAAAAACAATCCAATTCTGTGAATTTTTATAAATAAAAAAGTCGCAGGTATGAAGCTATTCCTTCATGAATTACTATTCATATGAAGCTATTCATGAAGTTTGAGGTGGATATTAATAATTTGATAAAAATGGACTAATATAGATTTTTGATGTAAGGAATTCTAGGGGTTACATCTATTGGATAACAATAAATCGAAGAGGGGTGCTTTTTTTGAACAATATTAAGTATGCAAAACTATTTTTTTTTTTTAAATTAATCTAAGGCCATTTAGGTTCTCTTTTATTTTAGATACCAAAGACTAACTTGTTTTACCCCCAAATAATTCTGTAAATCCCATATTACCCTACCAACAGCCCTCAAAGCTGGAACCTCTTTGTCGATCAATTGATTTACAATCAACAACTGATCTATACACAAATGAAATTTATCTAATTTGGTGGTATGCCATAATGTAGATAATAGCTACAATGAGCATATAGCAATGAAACTGAGATATAAACCAAGAAGACAAATGAAAAAGAAAGGGAAATTTTAGAATCTAATATTAACTCCGAATCTCGATGATTTTTACTGATACCAAAAGATTTCAGTGAAAAAGACTAATTTAAATGAATATCAATAAAAATACTGATAAATAAACAATCACAGCTTTTCATTCATAACTCGCAGATAAAAAAATGTGGTAACTAAAATAGATTAGTTGGTTGGTTGTTATGGAGTTATGGCATAAAACCTGTAGCTTATTAATACTGTTAATTAAGTTTGTATATATATATATATATATATATATATATATATATATATATATATATATATATATATATATTTTTTTTTATAGTAATACCTGCTAGTTATATAAATAAATAAAATAGATTAGTGATATCTTAATTATTTGATGATTTGAAAATAATCATGAACCTATGTCACAATTTTTTTGGCAATAATATTAATATAAAAGTTATATGAGAAACCTTTGAATTAAATTATAATATAACAGCTAGATTATAAAAAAATTCTGAAAATTGGGCATAACTATAAAATTTATTATTAATCCTATTTATTGATTACAATGTGAAATTCTTTTGATCTTAAGATAAAATAATAAATTTTAGTCCCTTAGTAGTTCGCGCTTCCTATTAACTAAATATAAAATTTTATAAAAAATTGTTTTGTTTAAAATTTTCTTATTTTGTAAATGCTAGTATTACAATTTTTATTTGCTAGAAAATAACCAACAAGTGCGTTCCTACCTATTAATTTTAAATAGTTTCATTAATGGTTTAGCTAATGAAAAAATAAAATAAAATATTTGACATGAAAACAAATTTAAAACTTCGATCTCAGGCCCATCTATTTTGCCACCTCATTGAGTGGGAGGGACGAATACCCACATAATTGAATGATGTTATGCTGTTATCCACTATTTTGAAAAAGAAAATGCACGGCTCCTAATGATGCTTATTGTTTGATTAATGAACTTCTTTATAGTGCTTTGGTTTATCTGATTGAATAAGCGCCTGGAGGTTTCCCTTACAGCTTCCCCTTGCAGAAGATTTGGGATAAGAGCCTACCTAGCCCACTAAAAATAGGATACTAGCATGTATCTTCAATTTTTATTTCTTTGATAAAGATAATAACAATAAAAATCCAAAAATTCCCAAATTTTTCTAAAGCATTTATGCAAAAATAATTAGCATTAAAGAAAAGTGTTGGAAATAGGGGCTACGTTTCGAGAGTGGGGTCATGCTTAGATGTCATGGCACGCCAGATCATAGCATTATATATCTTATATTTTTTAGCTTATATCAGTGTTTTCAGCTTCAAAACTTCCATCTAAGAAATAGCTTTTCGTTTTTTCTCAAATTTTCAGTAATGACTAAGGTTGAATTTTAACCACTGTGTGAACACCAGGTTAGTTTAAAATCTATTTTATTAACTTTCATAGATGGATGTTTATACAGTCGAGCTGATAGACACTTTGAACCAATCGTGTTTGTCAGCCGTATTTGTCCTGGTAGTGTGAACTTTGGCAACATCCCCCAGTCCCAACACACTTCCAAGTTTGATAGAATTTTGTTTGAGAATATTTTGAATTAGTTCATTTTCAAAACTGAGTAATCATTTGTCTCCATGACTGGTTAAGTTCTCATTTCTTGGATAATCTCTTAGTCTAGACAGTAAGTTTATCAAAAACCATATCGATAACTGTTACTTCTTTCTAATAAATATTAATCGAAACAACTGTGACAAGTGGGCTTATTCTGATTTAGTATCTGCAAGACGCCTGGTCTTTCACTCAGAAGAAGTACCGATCTCAAGATTTCTACAGCTTCCAGAGCTTTCTGAGGACGAGTTTTGTTCCTATTATTATCCATCTGGTACTATTGAAGGTGACAGGGATAATGAAATGCGGAGATGTCAACAATTCCTCAACGTTTCAAACAGGATGAGTTAAACGGCCTTATCTGAAATTGTATCCTGTCAAAAGAAGCTTGTGAATTAGCTTCTACACAAGAAGATCAAATTTGGTTCAATTTCAATTGCTAACTCAACGACAATGAAAGAAATAAATAGCACCATAGCTTTGGTCTTAAAGAAGAAAAGGTATCGTGAACATCAATGGATGATTTGTGAGGACTTAAAAATGGTAAGCATTCTTCTCAAACAGCAAAATGGCCATAACAAATATTCTTGTTTCTTGTGCCTCTGGGATAGCAAAGACAAAACACACCACTGGGTTAGACAAGAATGGCCCAAAAGAGAAGACATGGTCGTTGGAAAAATAATGTTAAAAACAAACTCTTAATTGAACAAGAGAAAATTATTTTTCCTCCACTACATACTAAGCTGGGCCTTATAAAGGAGTTTGTAAAGTCTCGGGTGGCGAGGTGCCCGAATGGGCTAATGAGTGTGCACAGCACTGCGAGTTGCCTGGCAACCAGATAACGAAGTTATGAGATTAAAAAAAAAGTACGAGTTCGCGTCCCAGTACTGGAGGGGATTTTAAATTCCCCGCCTTCACCCTCTGGCCCGGGAAAATTCTACATAAACTAAAAGGCGAGGTAGGGAAGAACAAGAAAGAAAAAAAAGTTTGTAAAGGCTCTTGAAAAAAAAATCATGCTTTGCATTTATGGGGGAAAATAACTCATTTAAGTAAAGACGAGTGTGCACAGCACCGCCAACGATGAAAAATTCCGAGTTCGCATCCCGGTGCCGGGGGAGTCTTTTAAATCCCCGCCCACACTCCCTGGCCCGGGAGAACCCCGGCGCTCAACCCTAGTCTATCAAAATTTCCATTGAATCTTTACACAATTATAATGACATTGATCAAGGGATAGAGTAATATAAGAATCAATTCTTTCAAATGGAAAAATTTGTAGGTTTAGAACAAAAAAATAAAATAGGAATATTCGATAATAAGTAAAAAGAGTAAGAAAAATAGAATGAAAATAATGTGTAAAATGAAAATAAGAAAAGGCTTAACATTAAAAGCAAGGAGAAAAAAAAGCAATGACAAGAATGATTAAAATTATAGAAGAAATTACATAAGAATATCAATTTAGAAACTAAAGCAGCATGAGAAAGTCAAAAGAACTATTTCCAATAAATCTGCAGTGTAATGCACATAACACAAGAAGGACAATCACATATTTTAAACATCATCAATATCTAAAAAATTAACTTATAGTTTAGAAAAAAAAAGATTTTCAATACGATATTACAATTCAAATTCTTTTGGGTATCTTTCTATTTATTTTTTTTAAGATACAAATTCAACAAAATCAGAACATGGTTTAAAGTAGATTTGAATAAGACTGATTCAAAGCAATTAATTCAACATTATCAGAGAGACATTAAGTAAAATTACTTCATTAACATCATGATAAAGAAAGATGATTGTAAGTAAAGATGGTGAATTGTGAAGATAGTGTGAGTAAAATGTTACTGTCTATATTATAAGTTTTTCACTAATTGTGTATAAGAAAATAAAAATAAATGGTGCTAGTTTCCTTTTGCTACGCCAAGAAGGAGAAATATTTCAAGATCACACAGACCACACTATTCACAGATTCTCTAAAATACTTGAATGGAATGAAAAAAACTAGAGCTGATCAATTTCCAACTCTAGATTGTAAATCCTGCCATTATAACAAGGGAATTTTTACTCAATAACATTAGTCGATAATAATAGTTAAAGTATTGAAATAAACATAAGTTATAGAATTTCAATTTGATGATCACTCTCTCAGATATGAAAATCAGATTAATTATTGCTATTACACTAATTTTGGGACTCAAGGAGGTGTGAAACGTCTCTTATAGCCTCTCCACTATCACCTTCCCACAGCAGGCTATGTTAAGCTGAGCAACCCGATCTGAGGTGGAGTGTAGAATCCCTGCAGAGGCAGTGAACTGATGTGAGATGGGGGTATCGGCCTTTCAGCTTGAGATGGTTCAAGCCAGCAACATGACTTATTACAAAGTGGTGGCGGATGAGCTCAAATAAGAGCCAACAGCAGAGAAAACTGTAAAGGAAGCCATGGTGAAGGCAACTCGCTGTTATTGTGGAGCAGGGGAATTTGAATTTATCTACTTCCGGTAATGGCTTGGAGTCCAAGCAGATCATGCTATGAGGGTGGATCTTTTGGCTACCATATATTTTTATCTTGATTAACTTTTAGCCCGATTTTTTCTGCTTCTCTTAATAGAGTCCAAGCGAGTCTCTTAATATCTTCTTTATTGCTTCCGAGAACAGCAATATCATCCTATATGCTAGGAATTTATGTTTCATTCCGATGTGCACCCTTACATCTTAGTGAGAGTCCATTTCTCTGCATCAAACCTGTTCGAATTTCGAAGGCTTCAGATACGAGATACGTCTCCTTATATTAGTAGTCTGCATTTAGGATCATTTGTATGTGTTGTCAACCTCACTAACTTTTTGGGAATACCCAGCTCAGTCTTTTTTTTTTTTTTTTTTTTTTTTTTTTTTTTTTTTTTTTTTTTTTTTTTGGTCCTTCCCTTCCTCGCCGTTAAGGCTATACGGGATTTTCCCGGGCCAGGGGGTATGGGCGGGGATTTAAAAGACTCCCCCGGCACCGGGACGCGAACTCGTGCCTATTTTTATATCTTTAATTCATATGTCAGGTTGCCAGGCAACGGCGGTGCAGTGCACACGCTTTAGCCCATTCGGCTACCCCGCCCACTACCCAGCTCAGTCATAATCTTCCAGAGAGTTTCTGTCCACGGAATCATATGCTGATTTGAAGTCGACAAATAGGGCGTGTACATCGTGATCTACTTCCCATCATTTTTGGAGTACTTGTTTTAGGATGAATATCTGGTTTTTTGTACTCCTTCCTCACCTTAATCCTGCTTGGACGTTGCCTATTATATTTTCACAATACAGATATATCCGACTCAGCAGAATATTTGTCATTATTTTACAGGCAACCGGAAGAAGTGCAATGCCTCTGTAATTACCATCTCCGTATGGAGCCCTACTGGATATGACAAATCTAAATATATTTTATTATTATACAGTTTCTCCATATCTGTCAGTGGGGGATGGGAGAGAGAATTTCAATTTAATTTTAATCATATACTTTAGCATTTTAAGTTAAAGGCAAACAAGCTCCATCACCTCATTTATTAGCAAATGATATTTTTATTATTATGCATTTGATTATTTTACATAAATGCATAGTTAGAAAGGTGAACATATAACCTAACCTAATCAACTCAGGTAAGCCATGGCAGCTAAATTCGATGTAATATAATCAGATTGGCAATATTGGACTACTTTCAGTATTCATCGGGAATCTGGGAATAGCGTACTCTGGATGATCTTGAAACCAGCCGCAACCTTGGAGTAGCCAAAGGGAAATAGTATCAAATAAATTAATTATGTATTTGTAAAAAAAAGTTTTCGATTATTATATTGACAATGATATATATGTTGAATAAAAATAACCTTATGAGGAAAAAAAACATAACAAGTATTGTATAAAAAATGGTCATAGCGAACTTATCACAAATATCTTTATTTAATATTTAAATGTTTTAAGTGTAAAATAAAAGGTTATGAGATTAAAAGGGGTTTTGGTACAAAATTAATCATATATTATTTAAATATAATAGTTAAAATATGTATTTATATAAGAATTATTCGAAACAATCCAATTCTACATTAGATGAAAAGTCTTAAAAGTAGATAAATATACTTTTATAAAGAAGAAAAAGTAAATATTATAACTGGTTATGGCGTTTTCAATAGCAAAAGATCAATGCATATTTGAAACATTCAGTTCCGAAACCAGCTAATTTCAAAATATTAAAAATAGAAATGATCGATGTTTTGTATAGTTTTCGGGCTACATTTTTATAAGGTGAAAGGGTTTCTTCTAAAGAAACTAGTCTTTTTTTTTTTTAAATAATATATTCCATAACTAACCAAATTCAAATTTACCGCTGTAAACTCTGTGCTTGTTGGGATTTAGATGAAGGCAACCTTTGATTTTATTTAGATCAAAAGGAACATTGTTATTAAAAAATATCCAATTACTTGAATAATAAATTATCAACATGAACTGAACACATAAATAAGTATTATTTACTCTTGAATTTTTCTGCTAAAAACAAGGCAACTAATAGCAAAGTCGAAATTTTCCGAGAATAATAAAGTGTAAAATATTGTGAGACAATTGAAATTAACAAAGTAAAAAAGTTGAGATTGTGTTTACTGATAAATTGCCTGAACTTGAATACTACAAAATGGCTATTAAAATGCATAAATATTCAATTTGGAATTCAATAATCGTTAGAAATTATATTAATAATTTTTTAATAGAAAATATTTTTTTTACTTTATACATTTTTAAAAATTCACTTCCTCTTAATTCAAATATAATTTAAAAAATAGCAATATCCTCTAAATAAAATTAACAATCATTAGAAGTTGATTGGGGGTGCAGACAAAGGTGAAACAACACAAAAATATGTCATTTTCTTTTTGCTGACTCCAGGTCTGAAATTTTCAAATCAAGTATTTTGAGAATTTTAAATAGCCCAACATCATTATAATTTTTTTGTATGTGTTCACCCCAGACAGCATCCCAGCAATCAACTTCTTCAACTAAATAATTAAAAGCCAATTATATCTAAAAAAAAAAAAATTAGGATCAGTTTTATAAATTATTCCTCCCAAAATTAGCCTGATCCAAATGATTTTTTTACTGATGAAATATAAAAAAACTTTTAATTTTTCATTATATACCCATAATGAATATATATTAAAAGAAAACAAAATATTCTTCATGTGACTTATCACTGATTTTAAAAATAGAAAATAAATTTATTTTCCTAGAAGACATCTAAAATTTATGAAAATGGATTTTTAGTATTGAAAAGCTGATTTTGGAATTGAATGCCTCATTCATTGAACAAATGATTCAATCAGTAAATAAATAAAAGTTATTTAAAAATAAATATTAAATAAAAAAAATATTGAGAAAAATACTTTATTTAATAATTTCAAAATACATAAAAGATAATAATACATTTTAATAAATTGTCTTTTTTATATAAGTACTATGATAAAATATTATTTTATACTAATACTGAGCACTTTAATTTAAAATATTTATTTAATTTTTTTTATTTTCAAAAAATATTTTTAAATAAAAATCTTTAATCATATACAATTTTAATGTTGTTTAGCATCATCGGTTTTCCATGATGAAACCATTTATGATATAACCATACCTGGCCTAGGATGGTGACGTCTATGAGAACTTGGAGACTCCCGCACAGCCAAAACTGTGCGGGTGCTTCTCGAAGAATGAAATATGTTGTTTTGAACACATCTCCCACTGTCCACATCAGGACCATGAGGATGCTGAAAATAAGGTTTAAAAACAAAAATATATTTTATTATTTAAAGAAAAAAAAATTGATTGCATTGTATACAGGATAACTGATATAAATTGGCTCAGATGCTTATTATGATAAAAAAAATAGAGGGATTAAAGATAACACTTACTTCTTAATACTCTCAGAGTCATTAAGAAGTTATGAAAGATCCAGAAGAATGTATTTCAATATTTTCAAAATTCAAGGATTTAGACCATTTTGAAGTGAAGTTAAGGAACTGAGCTCCTAATTGAGACCAAGATTTAAGACCCTCCTGGGGCTCTCTCAGCCTAAATTAATTAATTGATTAAGGGGGAAACTGAGCAGTTTAGCGTGATCTCAACTTAAACAACTAACTCTCTGCACAACTGTTGCACATAGGGTTGATTCAGATAATCTAGCAGAACAAAAGTTAAAATATCGATAGTGAATATTTTTGAGAAGAATGATATAAAAGGTCTGTTTATACATTGGTGCAGTTAGGAAAATGGGAATTAGATGAAACAAAAACAAACAATATGAAAAAACAATGAAAGTATAGAGCCAATTATTCAGCCTTAGCTAACACAACGAACACTCAAATTCTGTTTGTAAATATTGTAATTATTCTGTTGCCTCATTTAATTTTTCCAAATATGGATACCGTTTCCAAAGGTATGTACTTAATTTATAATATTAATATCAATGTAAAGGAAGTTTTGCTATTTTTCAGATAAAAAGTTAAGTATTCTACTCTTATAAGTCAGAGTGAAAAATAATAAATATCTAATTTCAAAATGCTATAGCTTACAAGAAATCTCTCTGCACATCAATATTTAACTAATTATAGATTTAGAAAAGATTGTAGTTTAAATATTTAATACTTTTAGACCTTGGTTTTTCCAGTTTTGGAAATTATTAAATTTTAAATATTTCATTTCTAAAAATTGTGGTGATAAGAACCATGAGCCGTGACAATTTAAATGATAAGAATACAATATTAATGAACACAAAATATTCTAAAATGAGTTTACATGAGTTTTTAATTAACTTATACAACATCAAAATACTTAAGAATATTTTAAACAAAAAATTCATTGAAATTTGGATTGATTTCTGAAAATTAGGTACAGACTAGTTATAATTACATTACAATATTGCCAAATAAGAAAATTGATTAACAGGACACATATAGAGATTTAAACTGTTGATTTACATGTTTTTAAGTACAGACTGACCTCCAAAGGATTGTTCTTAGCATGGATGTCTTAAAGCGGCACGGTCTTAAGTAGATCAACAGGAGCTATTTCTCAGTGAACTTTGCAATGCAAACAAATAAAAACTGTCTAACTCAGTTATATGTAATAGCTTCTAAATATGCATAACCTGCTAGCTCCTTTTAGATTGCAGAAGAAAAGATTTTTTTTGTATTCTTGAGTTTGTAACATTATTATTTGTCATGTACATCACTAACTTGAATCATGGAAACATGATACATCATTTTACTTTCACTTACCTATATATGAAATATATATAGTAAGGGACAGTATTGTGATCGTGAAAATTTTCGAATCTTGAATTTTCAATGGAAATAAATGAGGTCTCCTTCTATTCCAAATAGCCAAGTCCTGCAAAATGATTTGTATGTGTGACCAGTCTAGCTCAAAAACGATAAGTTGTATGAAAGTGAAATTGCATATTTAAGGTTTGAATATACCTGAGACATTACAGCAACTTTTTCGCCAAAACTGGCAACCGGAAGTGGCACTATATATAATCAATGTTACAAATTTGTACAATTTTCTCGAAAATGGCTTCAAAGATTTTGATCAAACTCGGTATATCAGTGTATTATTAAGCAATTTTTCATATAATATAGGTTTTATTCTCATTGATATTCTCTAACAGGGCTTAAATAGCTAATTTTCAATATTAGCTTCCTCTAAAGTATCTTTAATTTTTTTTATTTGAAATAATTAACCATTTCACATTAATCTTTGATATAAAAAAGTAGTTAAATATAAAATAGGAAAGAATCTGAAAATTAACTAAAAGAGAAATATGAGATCATAACGGATAATAGTTGTAATGGAGGAACCAAAGGAATAAGAGGGCACCCCAAAGATTAGGACAACCTTCCACACGTAACATGAGCTTAATATAATACCAACTACAACAATATTATGTACACATACATATGCGGTTTTCATAAATGCTATACTTGTTATTATTTAATATTTAATTGTATACATTAAAGCAATATAAAAATTAAAATTTGTATATATATATAATAAATAAATTGTAAATAAATATAGCATCCATAATTTTTACTTTCACTTCCCCTTGGTCTGAAAATACTTAATCTCTGCTAAGAAGAGAGTGATAAATGAGAGCTGTGTGATGCACGCACCAGATTTTTTATATTCTTTTCAACTAGCCTATTAAAAATATTTTCAATGCATATAAAAATAATCCGAAATTCCAACAAGTAGTTTTTAAAATTGATATTTCCATAATTACGAAAGGGAATGGATAGAATGATTTTTTTTTTTAAATCCTTTTTTTTCATAAGTACTATCCTATCATATAGATTTGGTAATATTTTTAATTGAAGGACAAAAATATTTTTAATCATATCACCGAGATGCCACTTTTATAAACAGCCTGGAAAATAATTATGATGTTGAGAATAGAAGAATTAAAAGTGTCAATTCTTTAGGATATTTCATAATATTTTAAGGACAGTACGTCGGAATAGTAAAAAGTAAGTGTTATCTGAAAACTTGAGTATTCACAGCTCAACCATCAGCTCTAAATGTCACATCAAAGTTAAAAATAAAGACCAGTTGTTGAAACTACAAGAGTAGAGCTACAACATTTTCATTTAGCATTTTTTATATATATATATATATATATATATATATATATATATATATATATATATATATATATATATATATATATATATATATATATATATATATATATATATCGTACATATGGCCATGAGAAAGTTTTGAGTCTTGTATATCAAACAGGTATCTATATCATTGAGGAGCATTATTCTTTTCTATCATTAGTTGAATAAAAAACTGGTAAAATGAAAAAAATTAAATATTTTTTTTAAATAGAATTTTAACCACTGATGATTTAAACCTATAATTATCAGTCATTATCATAATCATAATCAGTCAATCCAATGCATTATACTTTAAAACAATTTCTTCTTGATGGGCCTTATAAATGGGTTGAAACTATTTTTTCATTTTAGTCTTATTTTTTTCTTCATTAAATTGATAACAAATTATTTCAAGATAGTATAGTAAATAATTTGAATTTTAAATGATAAAATTAATGCAATTTTAATTAACAGGTTCAAAAAATAAATGTAACCAATTTGTTTTTGGTTGTTTACAAATGCAGTACCTACATAGTAATTTTTTAGAAAGTAAATACCTCTTTCTAATTGTTAACTCTCAGCAACAAACAAAACGGCTGTCCGTTGTGGAGAGGTTTGATTGCACTTAAATCTTTACAATTATTATTTTTTTTTTAAATATTTTATGAATTTCATACATTCTAATTGTTTTGGAAAGATAATTTAAATAATTTTAATAATGCAGATAGTAATATCATAAATACAGATACATAGATATGCAAGCTTTTTATAACATACATCTTAATGTCAAATTTCAACAAATCACAAAATGTTAACATTGGATTTTTAAATTGAAAATTGTTTTCATAAACAAAACAAATATAGCAAAACACAAGCAAAGTTAGCAACTCAAACAAAATAACAGCTAAGAACTAACTGAGTATCAACTTCAGGTTAAATAGTTTATTCTTTTAATATAACATTAATTAAAACTTATTTTCAGTATAGTAATATAATATGTTATTCTTTCTTTTTTTTTCCAAACAATTTTTTTATAAAAACACTGATGAAATATACAATTTGAAAGATAGGTTACGTTCTCTTTTTCTAAATATTAAATAAAGGAAAATATTTTTCAGGGTGTCTACTTTTATAGAATTTCCTGACTTTTCCTGATCACTGAAAAAGTTTTAACAGGAAATAATACAAAAAAAAAAAACAAAAAAAAACAATTGCCTTTATTGGCACAGTAACTATTTCTTAATAAATAGTTTTAAGACTATAATTATAAGAAAAAAGAACCTCCTATTTGTTATTAATTATGATTTTTTAATAATATGTTGACTGTTTATACTTTACCATAATTAATTGTTATTTATTATGATTATTCAAGGTATTTAGGAACTATTCTCTTCCTATATTTCTTATTTTATATTAAACTATAGATATCAAACATCTATAAACTATAAATATCTTCTTGAAGGAAGCTAATCGACTGTTCTACATGTCATGGGTGATAAATATCATTATAACATTTTTTTATTAGTGCCGAGGTTTCAACCCAAACATGTGGGTCATCATCAGGTGGTCATATAAATATCTTCTATTGGATACCTTCACTCCCTGAAATTTCTTATTATCTCAATTATCTGATTTCTCTGAAAAATAGGATAAAACAATCCTTCAAATGCTGGAAAATGAAGGCGTGTAAGAGAAGATAAAATGTAATTTAATATAAAAATTAATCCCATTTTTAAGGAAGAGAATAATTCACTAATACTTTGAATTAAACAAAATAGAGAAATTGTCATTATAAGAGGCAAATGCTTTAAAAAATGGGAAACAGCTCTGAAAAGTCCATTGACCGATAATAAAGTATATAGGAAATGGAATATCTTATTTGCTAAACCTTTAAAAATAAAAATCAACTACAGAAAAAAAAATTGTCAGAAAATTTTGATGAACCTATTGTGATACATTTGACTTGTCAAATGTATACTCGAGGATATATGATCATTATTTAACCTATTTTTTATTGGATAAATTTATAAAAAAAAACATTACTAGTATTTTAATTTTTTTTCCCCCGTTGGCACTACAGACCTTGAAAATCTTTTGCCGGCTTAACAAGCCTACACTATCTCTACTAGTCTTGAACTATTTCTTTCCAGTTATCTGCATACAACTGTGTTCCATCTTTGTTGATTCGATATATACATTGGCTTTTTGGCCTTCCTACTATTAAAGCATTCTTTGTCGTGTAGAGGCTTCCAGATGGATTGTTCCAAGCTACATGCCTCGCCCATCCTAACATCATTGCTATCTTATCATGAGATATTGATTGACCAGTTCCTGTAAGCAGCTCTTTATTGGTCTTTCTTCTCCATGTGTTAGAACTCTGATTCCAGATCGCTCCAATAATTGTGCAGAGAATTTTTCTCTCAAATCTTTAAATGTTTTATTTAAGAGCGCTGGTTAGTGTCCAGGTCTCACATCTATCAATAACTAATCAGTATTTTAATACCGATTATAAAAATTAATTTTATGAATTGTAATACGGAAATAAGATAGTGTAATATAGCTAGAGGTGGTGTAAAATATGTATTAAGTTCTAAGAAAGAATTGAAAACGGACAAACGTAGTCTCTTATGCTAAAAATTAATAAATAAAGGTTTGCTTTTTTGAAAGTCTGGAGGTTTGGTTAAATGCTTATAAAGCACTTAAATAAAATACATAATTAGATACTTTCAAAGCAATTAAAATAGTTATAACAATACCGTTATTTTAACCCATAACACAAATAAAAGCGTTAGTTTATAGTTTATTCAAAAAGAGATGGAACACTACAACAATCTGATGCAAACTAGTGATAAATTCAACTTCAAAAACAATTAGCACAGAAAAACAAAAACAAAACAAAGTTTAATAAAGAAAAACATAACTTTAAAAAAAAGTACACAAATAATGAAAAAATAACAAAATACCTCATGCCTTCAGTTGACTTGCTCTTGAAGTTTTTGACGAGCTGAGGCACAGCTAGCATGGCTTCCATAAAAAGAGCGAGAAAGCCAAGGATCTCTACATAGATGATAAAGTCCAACAGAAGGAAGGTGAGGAGGGACATGACTAGAGAGACGACTAGTAGGAAGTCTATGTATGACTGGAAATCCGTCCATGCCCAGAAGTATTTCCAATCAAAGTCTTCACGTCAGGTGACATCAATATAAGATAGAAAGAAAACGAACAACAGAAAATTAAAATTGAAAGATTGCTACACAGATAAAATTTTAGTGATTTAAAAAAACAAGTAAAATAAAAAAAATATTAAACAGATAAGCTGATTGTAATTAACACAAATAAAAGGTGTACATGCAAAAAAATTTGTTTATGAATTTGTGAAACATTCACAGACAAACACAATGTTAAAATTTCTCAAATATCAACAACAACAAAAATATCATGAAGATATATAGTCAGGATTTTTAGTTAAACTTTTTTTATTCTAGTTCAGGATGGCTTCCAGACAGTTAAAGTAAAATTTCCTAACATTTTCTTATTTAATGATAGTTTTCCCTGACAAATATGTCTCAGGAAACCAATATTAAAAATGTATAATTTATAACCAAATTTATTTATTATACATGAAATAAAATTCCATACAAAATGATTTGAGTAAACCAAAAAAATCAGTCTTTTAAATAACAAATATAATGTTTTAGAGGAAGTACTTTTTCAGCTTGATTAACATTTTTTATTTTAGAAAACTAAACTTTTAGTAATTTATTTTTATCGCTTTTATTTTATTTTCATCAACTGAGAGGAGGTAAAAGTTGATACTTGACATATAAAGCTCTGATTTTCTCTACTATAAAATAAAGTGAGCTACGGAGTATTGTAATATTACTGTAGTTTCTCATAAGTAATTTAGTTTATTTATTATTAAAAACAGCATAATAATTATCCAACTGTGACGACATTTCTGGTTAATAAATGCTTTTTTAAGGAGCAACGTGGGTTGAACGAATGAATGCTTGCCAGCCAGATCTTGACCCAGATGTATATATCACAAATAATAAACAGTATTGGTATATTTTTCTTTTCAAAAAAGCACTATTTTAAGATTTCAATATAACGACGAATGCCGTTGACAGTCAAAGGTGGATGAATATACCGACCATGGTCCTTTATAACGATGAAGTTTACTCCTTCAAGGTCATTATAAACGATATTCACTGTATGTTTATTTCCAATTTCAAAAAAAATATGTATGTACTAAAATAATTCCGTGACTTGTCCCATTTTTCCAGGTCAGTAGCCACCTTGTAGTTGGTCTTCATTTCAGAAATGATAAGTTCAGAAAATGGACTGTTAACAGAATGATAAATTTAATTTTTGAAGTGAAAATTTCTTTAGACATGTTTTGCACTTTTTTGTGAAGAGTAAATTAGATTGATCCGTCAGGTTCCCGTCTAATTGATTATCAACAGGAATCCGAACGATACTAAAGATTATAAACTCATATAATTTATACTCCCCCGTGCTGTCTTAAATTGGCTCAGGAATTATACTTAATTCCTGGTGATAATGGTTAAATGGAAGTCAATTCAGTGATCATTTTTGATACTGTAGTCTATACACAAAACACTTTATACATACGTAGTGCGATCGTGAAAATTTTTGAATCTGAGTTTTCAACGGAAACACGTTTTGGGATAGCTTGAGTCTAAATAGCCAAATCCCCAAAAATGGTCTGTGTGTTTGTATGTTAGCAGTCTAGCTCAAAAACGAAAAGTCGTACGAAACTGATATTACATATTTAAGATAGATATACGCCTTAGATGTGACAGCAACTTTTCACTTAAAATCGGCTAACCGGAAGTGCCACTTTTTATCAACTGTGAAACACATTTTTACAATTTTCTCAAAAAAGGCTCTATTTTGATTAAACTCGGTGTATCATTATATAATTAAGTGATCTTTAATATCAATTAGGTCTTATTCTTGTTGATGTCACTATAAAAGGCTTAAATGCCAAATGTTCATATGCGTCTTCCACTAAAGTATCTTTAATATGGTTTATTTTAAAATTAACTATCTCGCATTATTAAGAGTTACAAAAAAATGCTAAATATAACTTTTGAAAGAATTTGATAATTGAATAAAGGAGAAAAAGATAAAAATGCTTATCCAGATCGAAAATTAATCTCCGGAATTACTAGTCAGAAGGTATATGTATAACATATCATTGGAAAGTGGAGAATTTTAGAACAATATCTAATATATAAAGTTGTAGAAGTTAACGGAGAGTACCAAAAAAAAAATTATAAAGAATAATTTTCGAAAACTAATAATATTTAATTCAGTTTTAGTAAACTTTGCAATGGAAAATAACAGTTTAATAATAGTCGTACAATTCTTAGTCAACGGATCGTACAATCCATAATCAACCGGTGATATAATAAATAGGACTTCTGTTATTTTAATGGTATTTATGATTTCTTAACTGTAATTTAAAAAAATAAAATAAAAAAGTCTTACAGGGTTTTGCAGTATGGCTGTCGATATACACTATATACTTTATTAAAACAGTTAGTGGATTAAAACTGAGGAATCATTACAATAAAAATCAGTTAGTCTACCTTTCATATTCTGGTTAAATTAAAATAAATACAAATATTAATATAATCTCCATAGTAACTATTTAAAATAGCTAGAATACTTCATTACTTAACTGATCCATGTCCATTATTATAATTAACTACACAACAAATTCAAAGCCTGTATTAAGAATGCAATGAATTTCCACAGTAATATTTGCATACAATCAAATATTTAGAAATTTAAACTGCCTTATGATATTATCTATTCAAATACATAAATAAGTTTTCTTCAGTTTTTTTTTTCATTTTTATTTTAATGAATATTTCTTTTAAGTACTTTATAAAATTTTAAATATATTCTAAAATCTTTCCTTTTAAAATAACAGATTGAAGAAAGGTATACATTTTTTGGATTATTATTACAATAATATCTAGCAAACGAGAAGATTTCTTAACTATTGATTCAGTTAATAAGAAAAACTTAAATGACCTTTAAAATAAAAATGGATGACCGTCAAGGTAATAAATAATATATGTCTAATAATACTTTTTCAGTACTTTCAACGTGTTTCACTTACAAAATTACTTACCTTCAGTCGTGAATCTAAAAATTAAAAATTACTAAAGTATAATTCTTTCTATTATTTGTTAATGGATGCAAAAAGTGGCCGAGGAAAGAGCTTAAGATTTTTAAGTATTGCATAAAAAATTCGGAATGATGAAGGCCACGTCAATTGAATTCTTCAGTTGATTAACCTATGTGTGAAATGTACCCAACAAATATAATTGAGATGATAACATGGCGGGGAATAAAATGAGATTGTAAAATTGCACGGCTTTGTAACAAACAAATTCATACAAATCTGATAAACGCTATGCAGACTGGCAAACATCTGAGAAGTTGACAGATACATAGATGGGAGGGTTGTGTTACGGTTGAACTTCATTAAACTGTGGTTGACAAAAGTCACCCTTGTATAGATTTTGTTGCAATGAGAATGAAACCTTATCGCCTTCTAATATGATAGGTCAGCTGGACTTAGGCTGAGATTGTTTGGAGTGGATCGTTTAACATATCCAGTGTGAGCTGGTCAGGCAGTTAAAATTTGCTAATGTTACTAAAATTACATTTTGAAAAAAAAAAAACAGCCGATAGATTAAGCAGCACAATAGGGTTGATTATGCTGCAGTGCATGATACCAATTATTAAAAAGAGATTTTTGAATTTAAAAAAAAAAACCTGATTACAGAAATTGGGAAATTCTGTTCACTCCAAGGGAATGTATTTCTATATCTACTTAATCATTTTCGTTGATTGATAGTGAAATTCATATCAATGAATAGTTAAACTTATTGTCATGGGCGGGTTGGCCGAATGGGCTAACGTGTTGTGCACAGCACCACCATTGCCCGGCAACCTGATATATGACAAGTGTGTTATAAAAATAGTCACGAGTTTGCGTCCCGGTACCAAGGCATCTTTCAAATCCCCGCCCAAACCTCCCTGGCCCAAGGAAACCACGTATAGCCTTAACGGCGAGGAAGGGGAGAACCCAAAAAAAAAAAAGTTAAACTTAGTGTAATAGTGTAATAAATATAAATCATTTTAAATTTATACACGTTTTTATATGTTTTTATTATCTGTAATTTTATTGTATTCCTAATCATCCTGTAAATATTTAATTGTATTTTATGGACACACCAGAATATTAATATAAATTCTGTATTTGTAACTTGTTCTAAAGGGACATTAGTCCCAGAATAATAAAATTATTTTCATTCATTCTTTCATTATTTCTTTTAAAAAAGATAAAACTGAGATCATTTTTCTGTTATTTTTTTTCAAGTTGCCAAATTGATGTAAAACACATTTAATGAAACTCGTGTTCAAACATGTTAGTCAACTACATAATAAGACGTATTATAACTGGTATTAGAAACATTGAACATGCAATAAAAATTATAACCAATGGTAAAAGAAAAAAAGTACACATTAATTATTAATGCAATAATAGTTTAACTGAGTTAAAGTCACCAACAATAATTCAAATAATCTATAGTTGTTAAAACTGAAAAAGTATGAGAGGAACCACATTGAAAAAATTATCTTTTTAATATCTCTATGAAGAAGCAAATGTTTCAAAAATATTACATGATAAAACAAAATATTACAGTTTTACTGTTAATAAATTTAAAAAATATAACTGTACCAATATCTCGTGAAAATTAAACACAATTGCACTGAAGATACAAGAAAATAAATAAATATGATTAAATTAACATTTTATTTTAAGAATAAACAGCAGATATCATGATAAATATTTGAGTTAGAGGATATTTTTGGAAAAATCGGATACCTCCCTGCCTAAAATAAAACTAAAAAAATGTTTCAGGTTAAATTAAATATTAGAACCTCAAGTGTTCTTAATATCTGGTATTTTCAAGAACAGCATCATTCAGAACTAATATAAAGTCAAATGTCAAGAAAAACAATTAATAACAGAAGATTAATAATTGACTGTCATGGTTATATTAAAGAGGAGATGGTAGGGATGTTCAGTCACAAGTAACAAAGTAAAAATAAATAGATTATATTTATTT